CCCTGTAATGAATAGTCAATATAGTTTGTTCAAATAAATTTAAAATGTTGCATTGGTACTTAGATATGACAATTTATATAATTTTTTGTTTAAATAAGAAAAAATATACAGTTTCAGTTAACGAACATAATCCATTCCAAGACTTTGTTTATTATTCGAATTGTTCGTTAACTGATTATCGATTTACCATAGGTTTTTATGGGAATTTGATTAATTTGTTTCAAAGACTCCAAAAAATAAAAAAATATATACTTTTTTTTACTACGTTTATTTATATGTAATAGTAAAAATGCATATATATATATACAGTCTTGCATTTTTATTAGTCATGTTTTTTCTGTTTGTGGGAGTTAAAGAATCTGTCCAATGTCTTTTCTTCAGGATTTTTCAGAAGTAATTAATAGTATTGTAATTGTAAAGATTCCCCAACCCCATTAACCTTATTCTGGTTTGTATGCCACTTGGATTGATCATTGTTCTGACATCAACTTCTTCAAAAGATCTTTAGTAGCAGTATAGTGATATTGGACCTCCTCGCCCTTCCTCTCCTGCGGTTTCGCCAGAATGGATGTGACCCACCCACATGCAGTGACAGAAGGGCCATAAATCCCGGGGGAGAAAACACGGGAAGAGGGAGAGGAGTTCAGGACACGAGAGGGAGAGGGAGTGTGAAGTGGTCCCTGAGAGTGAAATAAAGTTTTTTTTTGTGGAAATATTGGACTGTTTTAGTTGGTGTGACAAACCGACAGGGCAGAATCCATTGATTAAGATTGGGTTCTCTACATTGGTGCAGCCGACAGGATCGTGAAGCCAGATCAACAAAACTCGATCTGTGAAGAGAGTGATTACGATCCAGAATAAGAAGAGAGGATCAAAAACCGAGCTGAGTGGATAATTGGGCACGGTGCAAAGGTTTGAGGAATATACAAGGTTTACACCAGAGAAGAGGTAGGAAAATTTTGTACTTTGTCGGAAATGAAATTCACGGTGGAATGCTAAGTGTAAAGGGAGTTAAGAAGGAAGATCTATGGATCGTGGCAGAAGAGCTTTGGGGCATAATAGATGATAATCTGAAGGTATTGAGTTAAGAGAACTTATTATGAAAAGTGATGATTTTGCTAGTGACCCAGATTTTGTGCTGGAGATTTTGACCTCTACTGTTGCTGAAAGGAAATGGAAGGAGAAACAAGAGAGGCTAGCACAAGTTAGAGCTGGTGCAGATTAACACTAATATTCAAAGCATGATGAGTAACAATAGTCCTAGGCTTACAGACAGCCATCCAGGTGATGGGCTCGTTGTGAGTACTGAGAAATTGATTACAAGCGTGAAGACATTAATGCTTCCAGTCCCAACTAAGTCTGAATATTGGAATCTATAGAGTGAGTGTTCCAATTGAAGAATGTGCTGGAAGAGATGAAAGCGCGATATTGATCAATATTCTAGGAGAAAAGGTCACAAACATTTTGATTTATATAACCAGAGACGAGTTAAAGTATTACTTAAGCGTAAAGAAATTAGTGTTATGAGAACACGAACAGTCTGCCCAATGCTGCCTAGAAAATTTCCGAAGTGCTAGACGTAGGCCCAATGAGACTCACATGCAATTTATGTTGAGAATAGCGTTGGCTTGGGAATACTATTGCGAGTTGAGGAGAGTGAAGGACTTGGAAACTTTAAAACAATTAATCGTGTCAGACAGATTATTTCAGACGTTGGATGCCGACATGGTGGCCCATATAAGCGTTCATCAGGGTGAGCATTGGTTTAACCCTATCAACATGGTGAGAGAGTGCGACCTATATTTCAAAAGCAAAGGAAGATCACTAACTGAGATGTACGAGTTGCAAGAGTCGCGGTGTCTTTCAGAGTGGCAGGGTACTGGTCAGGAGTACGTTCCCCCATCACTGAAGGATGAGGGACAAAAAGACACACTCAACTATTGTCAGGAAATGAAACGGAGAGAGTGCTTCATCTGTGGATCAACACAACATATTTCTAGATCCTGCCTGCAAAAGATAAGGGATTCACCCGTAAACAATAGTTGCACTTAACCCTCGATCAGTTGGAGATGGAACGACATCGTGATAGTGGCGAGTGTGAGATCAGAACACTTTGAGGAAAAAACGAGCAGCCATTTGAAGTCCGGCCCTAGTATTTAATGTTTACAATACATTACAGTCAACATAGGTGGGCAAGATACTGAAGCTATCGTAAATTCAGGCACCCAAGTCCCAGTCTTGTGCCCTGAAGATGTTTCCAACTCGAATGACAGGATGGGAGGAACAATAGTTTTGAGCTCAGTGTTTAGAGAAGAGATTAAGGCACGGACAGTAAAGGTCCCTATGGCTATAAAGACCATTGCAGCCAAACCTATAGAAGTCACGGTGGCACTGATCGAGAAACTGAAGGGCCCTTGTCTCATGCTGCCTGGTATTCTCAAAATGTTGGAAGGACAAGCTTGCGTGTATAGACCTCCTTACCTTCATAATTGTGTAAGTGGAACAGGTCATGAACCAACTGATTGGGACCAAAACTGGTACTTGTATATGAGTGATTGATATATAGATCTTCACAATAGAGCATTGTTTGAGAGGACTGATAGTCATAACAGAAGCTACCCAAGCTGAAAAGATTCTATTAGTTGGAATTACAGTGACCGTGAAGATTTTAGAAATGTAAATAATTAATCTTATTGTTCTTTATAATTTATTTATAAAGTTATGATGAACTAGGAAGTTTTCCTATATTCTAAATACAATACTCTAGCTTTTGTGTACTCTTGTTGCTTTGATGCTATTAGATTGTAGTAAATGAAATTAGGGAATTACACTCCTCAAAAGTGAAATTACAACACCCCGAAGGAATGAATGTAGTCATACATATATTGCAGGAACAGTAGAAGTGACAGATATGCTAATGATTAACTTTGTGTATACATTGGATCATGTGGTACCCAGTTTCAAGCCATAAAGTCCAGCAGTCAGCTCAGGCTGGAATGCTATCAGTGAATGTTCATGGCAGCCAAACTTTTGAAGAAGTGTAAAAAATGCATAAGAGACAACAGTGAGCTGAATACTACCAGTTAATGGCTGGGGAATGAGACTGTGTCCAGGAACTGCGTGACCTTGGTTTGTCAATGTTTGCAGTTGCACGCGTGTTGGGTGTGATGTGAGTACCATCCAGTAATGTGTAACACAGTGGATGAAGGAGCATCTGTGAACACATTGAAAAAGACTGGTGCATGACAGTGCATTCAGACCATCAGATTTGCCGAATGGCCTGTTGGGAACCATTCACCATGGTACATGACATCCAAAGTTGGGAGTGGATCACAGTGGCACATGACAGAACACACAGACTGGCAGATTTCCCAAACAACCTGTTGGGACCTGTTTGCCATGGTATGTAAGCAAACGAGTCCAAAGCCATCTGTTGCCATCAACAGGTACATCTGTGTTCATCCAAACCATTCACAACAGGTTGCATGAAGTTGGGCACACAAGGCAACCAGCACTGGGGGGGTTCCATTAATCACTAGACACAGGGCTGCATGCCTGGCATGGTATCATCATCATCACAATTCAACCACTGGATGGCATTGGATATTGTTTAAGGACGAATTCCACATTTGTTTGTGGAGGAATGGCGGCCATGGACAGGTGTGGCATTGTCCCAGGGAACATTACATGGCAGCCTTTTTTGCTGAGCATCTCACCAGCCCCACACTGAGCATCATGGCTTGGGGAGGCATCATGTCTGATCAGCACATTTCTGGTACTCTAACAATGGACCAGTACATCAGACAAATTGTGAGGCACTAGTGCAGGCTGCACTCAGCATGGTGTTTTATCAAGACAATGCTCGACTGCAAGTTGCACAGCAAACTCTCACCAGATTCAGGCAACCATTAATTGCCTCATTGATAGTATGCTTCACCACAAAGTGGCCAGTATAGCTGCCTGTGGGGACCATATTCATTACTAAATAAATAGGTGTCTGTTTCATATCTTTGTTCCACTAATCATTTGCATATCTTTATCAACTCTACTGCAATGTACATGTTGCTATGCTCATTCCTTTATGATGTTGCAATTTCACTTTTGAGGAATGTAAATGAAATGTAGAAATAAAAAAATAAACAAGATTAAATGTCTCTTAATTCTGCTTGTTAAGGATACTAAAAATATTTAATTTTCTTCATATTTAAAATGTTTTCAGCTGCTTTTGAGTCATCTTCAGTACAAACTACTTCATATTAAAGTAGTTTGTAGTAACCTTAACAAGTAGAATTAATAGTTATATTTAAATATGGTATCAAGTTTTACTAATTATAATGATGATAAACAAGATTTTTTGTATTAAAATTATTTACATAGAATTAAATATAAACACCATTTCAGAGTTTTTAAACTCAATAGGTTACTGTATTTTTAAATACAAATCATTGTCAGAAAAAGTGAGTTTCATTAGAGAAAGTTGTAGTAAGCATGATTTCCATGTTTCTGTACAGTATGTTGTTATTTTAAAGAAAATTGTTAATGAAAATATTTTTAATTAGCATTTTTTATAGAATGTAGCAGATAATGATTTTTAAGTTCAACTTCTGAATGTTTCATTCAATTTCAAATCTGATTGTACCATTAGATTTAGTATTAAAAATTCTTCAAAATTACTGTAAATTTTGGGTTATCATTTGAAATTTTAAAGTTACAATCATTTTGACCTTTAAAGTTTAAATGTTAAATTATCAAAACAGCATATTAAAATGCACTTTTTGGATCTGTTAATATATACATTCTAAATTTCTGTATCTATTAGTAGATGAGATACAAACCTGGCATGACCTTTATGGGACACACTGTATTTACACATTTTTTTCCTGTAATCTTTCTATATTTATAATTTAATTTTTTTTGTAATTTTTAATTTTAATAAAAAATTTTATAAATTTAATATAGAATTTTTTAATTATATTTAATTTCTTTTTGTTATGAAATAGAATACAATTACACTTCCTCAAGGCTTAATTCGAAGTACATTGCTAGTAAGAACAGAAAATGGTCAGCTTCAGGTTGTAAATGTAGCACCAGGAATTACAGCAGCTGGTGGAATTGCTGGTACTCCAACATATCGTTTGGAATCTGTTCAGGTATGTTTAATTTATTGTCTTCAAATAATTTTGTATTTCTCTTTAATTTATTTATATTAGAGTACAGTACATTATCATTATATTGGCATATGATTAAAGATAGTTATCAGCTAACATAGTCACGAAAGATGTGGCAAATATCTGATTACCATTTGTTTGATTTGTGAATTAGTTTTGATTAAAATTCTTAAAATTATTTCTAATATTCATAATTTACAATGATTTTTATTCATTTATATTTTAAGCCGGGAGTTCATCCAAATGTTTCAAGTTCCATTCTACAAACAAATCAACCCATCCAAAATGTAACTTCAATTTTGCCTTCAACAAATATACCTTCTCAAAACATAAAAGTATGTATAATTTATCTATAATAAAGAATGTATAGTGATATTAATTTAAAAAAAATAAAATATCAGTTTATATGTTAATTCAAAATTATTAATTTATTAAAATGTTTTATTATTAATGTATAATTATGAAATAAAAATTTATGTATCTGAGCTTTTTAAATCTTTTTAGATTTAAAAAACTCAGAAATCTTTTTACATATAAGTTATTTATGGTGCAAATTGCTTCAGGGAATATCTGTGCAATGTTATCTTCAAGTAGAATAACATCTAAATGTAAATTCCTATGAATGAATCATGTTTTTCTTGTTTAAAAATTTTAATTATTGCATGCGTATAAATAATGAACAAGAGTGGTGATTGTGAACATCCTTGTCATACATCTGCATTTGTTGTCTTCCATTTTGTAAGAGTGTTTCCATATTTGACCGAAATTAAATTATATTTGTAAATATTATAAATGTTAATGATAGTTTGGGATATACAATGTTGTTTTGTAAAATATTAAATAATTTTATTTTATTAACTTGATATCATCAAATGCTTTTTCAAAATTAATGAAGTCAATATAGATTTCTGTGCTAAATTCTTGATTCTTTTCAATTAGTATTTTTATTGTGAAGTATATGTCAGTACATTATCTTCTCTTCCTAGATCCATGTTGTTCCTTCCTTATTTTATTGTTTTAATATCTTGTAGAGTATGTTTTTATGATTTTAGAAAACATTTTATATTCTGAATTCAAAGATGAATTTCTTTGTAATTTTTGCTGTTATCAACTTGCTGTTGAGATCTGGGGGGATGTTTAAAGACTCCCCAGATCTCAACAGAATGTACAGCGTATATTCTATCTCTCTAATGGATAACAGATGGCAAAAAGAACTCATCTATATTGGTTCTACTAAGCTCTCATTAAAGATCAGATTAAGGGAACACCAAGCTGATCTACAACATGGAAGGCTCACTAGGCCCTAAATATTTATGCAACAGACCAGGACATCGAGGCGGAACTTGACAAAGCTAAAATCATTGCAACCACACCCCACCCTAAGCACATAAAATGGTTAGAAGTTATGGCTATTTATAAAATGAGCCATACAAATACATGCTCAACCTATCAACATCCTGGCAACTCCTCCTAGACAAGTATCTGTAATAATTGACACCTATGCACAATGGTGCATGTCTGTCGGAGTAGAATTTGGCAAACTTTTCAATTTGAAATTTCCTGTTCTATTTCTTCTCAAGTATTCCATTTCCACCTGAAGAAGAACTTCATAAAGTTTGAAAACGTTTGTGGGACAATCTTTTATAGGATACATGCTGGTAACAGGTTTGATTTTTGATTGTAAGTGTAGTATACTTCCGATGTTAGTAAAGGGTTGAACAGTATAATAAAAATGCACTTTTTACTTCAAATGAAAGTATTGATTTTTGACCTATTTCCTCTAGTTCCTCATCTTGAAATTGGTCCATTGTGTTCCTCTTGTTATAAACTTTAATTTAATATGTAATTTGATTGTTTCAGAGGATGATTAGAAATTTCCTCAAATTTGTTTTATTATAACAAATTGTAAGATACAAAATGATTGATCATTTAAACTTTTCAGTAAATTAGCTGAATTTATCTAATATAAATCAGAAAAAGAAAATTCCAAGAGAAATTAATGTATTTCAATGTAATCAAAAAGATCAGTTGAAATGTGCTTTGGTATCAACATTCATAGGCTTAAAATTGTAAACTGTGACCTTGTATATCTCCAGTTACAGGTCAAATTTTAAAATGCCATTTGTGTCATGATATAGACTGATATGGATTCTATTTGTATGCAAAAAATGATTTTAATTGGTTAAGTGGTTTCAAAGGAGTTACCTATTATACAAGGGCAGTTTTTTGCAAGCTCCAATGGTCCATAAAACAAAGACAAGTGTAGATAACGAAATGAATTTATTACCAAAAGTTAGGTACAAACATGGTTACTTTTTGACATAATCACTGTGAAGATTGAGGAATTTGTTGTATCTGTGGACAAGCTTTTTCATCCCGTTGTCATAGAATGTTGCTACCAGTGAATTGAGATGGTTTTAACAACGTTGCTTTGAAGATTGTCATTAGTTCATTAGTCTCAAACTTCTGCCCTGCTAGCCATGTTTTCAGTTCAGGAAAGAGGTGGAAGTCTTCACACATTAAAATGTTGTAAGCTGGGTGGAAGTCTGCAACCACATTTAATTAAACACCCAGCGTATAGCCCCGATTTAGCACCTGAGCGACTTCCATCTCTTTCCTGAATAGGAAAAGTGGCTAGGAGGACAGAGGTTTGAGACTAATGATGATCTTCAAAAAAATTTTAGGGCCCATCTCAAGTCATTGGTGGCAACATTCTATGACAAGGGGATGGAAAAGCTCATCATAGGATTTGACATATGCCTCAATCTTCACAGTGATTACGTCAAAAAGTAACCATGTTTGTACCTAACTTTTGGTAATAAATTAATTTTGTTATTTACACTTGTCTTTGTTATATGGACAATTGGAGCTTGAAAAAAACACCAGGCTACATACAAAAAGCACTCTGCTAAATAAATTGTGTCTGTACAAATTGTTTTCATGCTATCCACTTTAAATGTTATGTATTAAAACTATAGGAAATCCTGGTTAATTAGAACTCTGATAGTTTGAAATCCTGTTAATTTGTAACTGTATTTTTGTCCCAGCTGGAGATATAGAGATTTACACATTAAGGAATTTGGTTAGTTCAAAATATGGCTACTTCATAATTTGAAGTGAAAATTCTGTCAGAACTGTGATATGCATATTAGTGATGGGACAATACCAAAATTTCTCCTGATTTTGATTCTGCTTATGCAGAAAACTTTCAATTCTGATATGTTTTCTGATTCTGATTCTTTTGAATACTTTCTAAAGTTTATTTTAGTTTTAAAAAATTAATGATTTACATTACAAACAAGAGACATTCATTAATTAATAAACATAAGCTTAAGAATGGAAAACAATTGGGAAATCCAGAATCAATTTTTTGAAAGAAACATGAAAATTCTACATTTATATGTGGATACACATACTACAAAATAACTTTGTAATCTTATTTCAGATAAAGTTAATATTTGGAACATGACCCTCAAAGAAATTATAGCTAATTCCATTTTACTTAGTGAATGTCATGTTCGGTTGCCATCTTTGGAAACTGTTTTATTGGCTGACGCAATGAGCAGGGGAGGGGAACGTGAATGAGAAGATTCACTTTTTCATGCTTTTCACAATTGGCATGTTTTGTAAATGATTTAACTCCATCATATTTAATATTAAATGCGGTTCAGCAAATTATGCAACAAACTGAACAAATATCATTGTCATGAGTTAACCAATTTTTGAATTCATTCACTGGAGCCACAAATGTTTAGACTGACTCATCTTGAAAAATCAATTTTCAAAATTCAAAACAGCAGTAGAGTTAGAATAAACAAGTATTTTTACTCAGAATTGCACAAATCACATTTGAAAATTTAACATATTGCAGCATTCTCTGTGAATCATAACAAAAACTTTTAAAATTATAAGAAGAAAGTCGTTTTATCATCTGTTTTTCCAACACTTAAATATTTTTCTTGACCACTGGCCTTGATTTTAAACTAGATAGTCCAATAGTTCAATCAATGTTAACTCACTTATACTTAAAATTTTTAAAACACAGGTAAATTTATGAAACGAAAATTAATGAAATTACTAAAAACTTAAAATAAATTTAAATTTGATCGTTCTGTACAAAACACTAAAACAATTTCTATAGTTATGTCACAAAAGAAAAAAGAGTTGCAATTAATTTTAAAAATTGTAATTAAGGATTCAAAAAATTCAGGCAAAATTAAATAAATAAAAACTTATTAAAAATAATAAAAATAATGATTAAAGCTCTGGCCTTTACATCAAAACTAAAAATAAAATAAAATTGATTTTTAAATTTACATTATTTGTGCTCAGCAGTGACAGAACATTTTGCTTTTAATATATATGAAGCATGCAATGCCATGCCCTAACATTGTAAATGCCATTTTTATCTAAATATATTTTATTGGGAGAACAAATTTTAAATGTGATGTTTCTGCTGCAAAAAATATTGTGGCGATAGTGGCTCTGTAAGTGGCTATATTTTGAAGTTGAATTTATATGCAAGCCATAATGTTTAAAGTGCTAAAAATCACATGACTTGCACTTAAGTGCTTAAAATATTATGGCTTATGTTTACTTTATTTTCTTATTCCAGAGAATTTGCAACTTAGTGAGTTTTTCACTATTTTATTGTAAAATTGAAATGAATTCATTCAAGTCTTGAAGGAATTCATTTCAATTTTACAATATTCATTAGAAAAATTACAAATATTCATTAGAAAAATTATTGTTTATTTCTCCTGAAAAGTTTGTTTTTTTTTTTTTTTTGCATTTACAATGATGTGGCATTGCAAGCTTCATATACAGAATACGGATTGCCGGTCCAGTGCTGCCTGGATGGCAGCCCTAAAATCATCCTATCTCCCCTAGAATGGGGATAGTTAGTACTGGCCGAGTGCAATCTCTCATCTCTCTGACTAAAAGAAAGAAAGTCCTTCATAAGACCTTACCTTGTGTGTAGGGTGTTACATAATCTCTGTTTTGTCAACACAAAAGTTTCCAGTAATCTAATATTTAAATGTTAATATCGTAATTTAAAAAATTTTTAATCTTCGACTAAAACAAAAATTAATTTTTGTATAAAATGTGGAAGAATCGTTTTTAAGAATCAGAAATTATGATGAGATTTTCTCTATTCCAATTCTGATTAATTGTCCCATCACTAATGCATATGTTAACTTGTTCATTTAGATTGAAATGTCTCCATGCTGTAAGAGAACAATAGACCAAGAACAACTCTAATTTGATCAATACAACTTCTTTTACAGTAACATCTTTTTTGATGTCACCTTGCATATAGACTATCCCTTTTTTCTTTTATTTCATAAAATACAGATGGGTTTCAGGATTGCAAAATTGACTACAAGTTGCAGATTGAGATATCTGTAGGACTCTAGCCTACTACTTTATGGGCCACTTTAAAAATAATGTGGGCTACATTTTGAAGAATTCATTTTACTTTTTATAAAACTTATCTGGTGCTTGTGAGGTTCTCACCGGACACATGCTGTTTACCTGCAATTTATTTATATTATTACTAGCTGCAAGGACCCGCTTCGCTGGGTTTTTATTTGTTCGTACATTTGTATGTAATATAGTTTTTTTTATATATATAAAAGACTGTTTTTCTAAGTAATCTAGAATCTAGCTGCAAGGACCTGCTTTGCTGGGTTTTTAAAAAGTAACGATAGTGAAGATTAAGATAATTACATTATAGCCAATCTTACCCGTTTTCACATAATGCAAGAATTAGGTCCCCCGTTTCCAGACTAATTAGAGACCTGGTCCCGATTCTATTTCTGAACATCTCCTGTTCACGTCCGGTCAAACGTTCCAGAAACATTGAAAATAGTTCATTTTCAATGTTTCTGGAACGTTTACAATCATTCTACAATCGAACCAATATTCAAATTTTATGTTTGAATTTAATTCGAACAAATTTGAACATTGTTCGAATTAAATTCAAACAAATTTGAACAAAACATTCTTAATAGAAAGCCACTTTCAACCACTTTCAAGCCCATATCTCCCGCACCCTTATAGCCATCGAGATGCAACCATTCCTATGCACAAATAGAGACTTGGGGCTATTACCACATACAAACACCATTCACGTGCGATGTGTAGTTTTTGCGAAAAAGTGAAATATAGGGACATACATGTCCATTTATATATATATATATATAGATTATGTTGGGTTTAGTGGGTTATACTCAATTGATACTGGTTGCTGTGTACTATGCCAGACCAGAGTCAATGCATAGCAACAAAAACAAAACTAAAATTAAATGTGAGTGTCAGTGTCAGTATTAAGAAATTTCCTAACAATATGGCATGTATTCAATATAGTGGCCTTCTGTAGTGTGATGTATGTATTTCTACTCAATTGTAATGTTCCCAGGCTTTCGTGTAGCATGTGTGGTATCACACCTATAAAGGAGAGAACGACAGGTACAATAAGCACCCTATCCATCCTCCACAGATGCCTGATTTCCTGGGCGAGTTCTGTGTACTTGCTAATTTTTTCAGTGAATGTGTTATGTATGTTGTTAGTGTTTGGACTGGATATGTCTATAATGTATGTGATTTTATTGTGTTTGTCAATGAGTGTGATGTCTGATCTTTTATGTCAAATCATTTTATCTGTGATTGTGGTTCTGTCACAGTATATTTGTGCATGTTGTTTTCCAGTATTGTCTGTGGAATGTATTTGTAATATGGTTTGTGGATGTCTAATAATTTGTGTTTGTTTGCAAGCTCTTGGTGTATTATATTTGCTACTTGATTATGTCTATGTAAATAATCTGTCTGTGCCAAGAGCTTGCAACCAGAAGTAATGTGCTGTATAATTTCTGGCATGATGTGTCATTTTCTGCATGTGTCATTCATGAATGTTGTATCTTTGCATATGTGTTTTCTGTAGTTTTTAGTATTTATGACCAATCACGTCCTGTATGGCAATCATGAATCCTTCCATCTCCCCAAAGAGGCATCCTCAAGCTAACCAGCTGTTTGACACAGTATTTTATTATTATTTATTATTAATTAATGAAAATAGCATTTTGTATAAGTAACCATATTCTGTTTGCTTAATAAATTACATCAGTTACATGGCATTTGGCATATTGTGCAGAAATATGTAAATCTTCGATAAATCAAAGTTGCAAATATTTTGTCCCCTGAATTTCGAACTAAGGAGGCTTTCCTGTATTAATAAGGTGCATTTCATCATTTATATCTATAGAATTATAGTCAAGTCATGTGTAAAAAATGGACATGTGTAGCATGGCATTTACCATTAACTTAATTATATGGCAAAATTTCATTTGTATTATACAAAATTTACAATACATGTGACCTACTTAGAACAGCACCTTTTCACAATTTGAGAACCCACTGCAGTTAGACTTTGTTAAAAATATTTATTTATTCTGTGAATAATTGAAAGACGAAATATGTATTGATAAATATTCTCTTTAAATATGTATTTTCTGTTAGATTTTGTTTATTTTTAAAATCATGTTTCAGATTGATATTTTACAATTTTAACTAGTGATGCATTGAATAGTATATTCAGCTCAGGCTGAATACCGAATATTTGGCCAGAAGCGTGGCCAAATAGCTGAATATTCGGCCAAACTATTCAGCTTGATTAACGCACGTATGAAAATTGGTGCGCAAACCATATTATGGCAAGGATCATGCACCCTGCTCTCTATTGGCCCACTGTCACTACGCTTCGCCAATCGCGTTAATTCTTGACAGTTGTAGCGGACAGACAAGAGCGTCATGGCAGTATGTAATAAGTGTTGATATCGAATGTGGATAACAATGAAATGACCTACACGTGTAAATAACGGAAAAAGAACAGAGAAGGACCGCGAGGTGAAAATATGAAAATAAATATGAAATTCAGTTGATAACATAATCAAACAAGTTGAGGCAGCTTATTGGCACGAAATTCGCGGCTGTCAATGCCAAATAATTGTTCTCATAGACTTCAGAAAGCGAAATGCTTGTAATGAAAGTCACTTAATGTGCATGGGCAAAGCCTGGCTATCAAGCTGTCTGGAACTTCAGCTATGATAAATAATTTTGTACAATGAAACAAAAAAGTTGATTTAATTTTCAAGTTTATAATAAGGGGTGATTTCATAAAAAAATTTTACAGATCATTAATTATTATTTTTTTCACATTTTATGACCTAAGTTTTGATCTAATGTGCCCATGCAGTAAAAATTTTCATACAAATTTTTTATCCTTTTCAACTTTTTATGGTTGAATTTCTTAAAATCTTTTCTTAGCATGCCTAAACTTAACAAAAGGAACACACCCTCAAATTTTTAAGTTTCTAACACCAGTAGTTTTGGCTTTGCGTTAATTATCCTATCTGGACTTGTTCTTTTATATATGAGTATATAAGCAACTAAACTACATAATAAGTAGGTAGTTTTCATTTGATTTGTTACCTTTTTTGATCTCTTAAAAAATAACTTAGTTATATTACTTTTCCTTTGATTTTTTACATAAATAAGCAAAAAATTGCTCTTTCTCGAACTTGAAATGTATGTTCAGCATTAATAAAAGTTACCAAAATGATTAATTTACTGTTTTTTTTTATATTTATTACTCCTGTTTTTAGGTATTTGGTATTCGGCCGAATAGTAACTGAATATTCATTGCATCATTACTTTTAACACATTTTTATATTTAAAATATGTTATTAATTCAAAGCATTTGAAATAGTTATCTATGGAAATGATTGTAGAAATGATAAGATCAATATAAGGCATACATTATGTACAAAATGTAAGAATCAGTTTAAAGTTAATGACTTAAGATTAGTTAATAATGATATTTCTTTTTTTTTTGTTTAAAATTGTAGAAACCAACAAATGCCAGTAATTTAAACCAGCAGTTAACTATTCAGACAAATACAGCAAATGGCCAAGTTACCAGTTCTTCTCAGGTTAGAAATTTTAATTTATTAAAATTAAAAGCAGTATTAAAGTAATAAATAGAATTAATACTTGATAATTACATAAATATATAAAATATAATTTTAAAAATTCAACGGTATTAAATAGAAACTTAGTAAATAAAATAAAATATAATATGTAATTTAATTTTATTTATAATTAATAAAAATAGATTGTTAGATAGCTGAAAATATTTATTATAGTACACAAGGAATGTATTTAAGCTTATTTTGGCTAAAATAGGCCACTAGACAAATATGTGTTGTATCTGTGCAATTTTATGACAGTGATAATTAATTCTTATGATTTTATTATGTATAGATTTACATAATTTGCATCAGTGATGCAAATGGCAGAGCATAAGCAAAGGCATCCTACAATATTCTACTATTATATGTCATATTTTGTATTAGTATAATCCACACTTTAAAAACTGGATGTATTTCACATTAAAAATTCCAAACTTCACTTTAACTAGTAAACAACAAAAATTTGATGATGAAATAATGTTTTCAACTTTTTTCAAAGACCATGATTAGATTTTAAAGATGGAACAAAAATTTGAATAGAAAACAAAATTCAAATGTAGTTGGATAGATATACACTGAGTGGCCAATTTATTATGACCACTTGCAAAATGTGTACAAATCAGCCGTGATGGCACTATTGTCACTAGATGATGAGATTGCACCACAGATAGGATCTCAATTCAGTTCAAGATGTGTTTAAAAGTACAGTGAACTCATTTTCACTTGTATGTTACCACCGGTTTCCTTTTCCCTCTAAACAGTTGTCAATTAAATGATTTTGTTGAGAACAGGATCATCACATTACTTGTAATGCTGTTAATTAGTGCTATGTACAATTAAACCTTATACTTGTGCGTTAAATAACCGACTGGTCTTTTTTTCTACAATCTGTTAATTCAGAGGTAAATGTGCATTTTTGGGGTAACAATTGTTGTTAAGAGCAGGATCATTATATTATCTTTATATATGCCAGAATTTTCTATTTACAAGGTGTGGCTAGAAAATAATGAGACTGAAGCTACAACTTTAAATCTTGAGTAGTATACTCACTTAAGTTGTGTTTCTCTTCAATGTATGATCCTTCTGCTTCCACCTAGTGCTGCATTTGCAACTTTCACTGATCATAACAGTGCTGCAGGTCATCATCTGTAAGGTTATGCAGTAGCTCTGTATTTTTCTTGACAGCGGAAACCGAATCAAAATGGTGTCCCTTCAGAACAGATTTGACTTTAAAGAAAAGGTAAATGTCACACAGAACTAGGTCAGGCAAATATGGTGGGTGTTCAAGTAGTGTGACTCCTTGGCCAAAAACTGCTTCACCTGACAGAGTGGAATAGGCTGGTGCATTCTCCTGATGGAGGATGAAACCATTTTGCCAAAAGTATTGCCACTTTCTTCTGATCCTTTCCCACAAAGATTCCAGAACTTCTTTATAGTAGTATTTGTTCACAATTTGTTAGCTTTTCGTGCATTTTCCTTGGTTTTTGACGTGCTGGGCTGTCCAGTGCATTCATCGTCTTTCACATTCTCTTAGCCTTCAGAAAATCTTTTGTGCCGTTTATATTCATAAGCATGACAAAAAATGTGTCTCTGTATGCTTCATGTAGCAGGCTCAAAGATTCAGTGGCAGTTTTTTCAATTTCACCAAGAATTTCAGGTTGATAGAGTGTTCTTCTTTCAAGCTGGCCATTTTTCCAACACATGCTAACAACATGTTCTCTTGCAGCAGCACTCAAAACAATCTAATAGCGGTAACAAGTTGAGACTTGCTGTGATTGTTCTAACTTGTTCATGGTCGTTTACCCATCCACTCACTTCAGCCCACATGCAACCATTGCGTGCAGGCAATCACAGTCTTGTCATTTTCTAGCCATACCATGTATAGTCCATATATGGACTATACATGGTATGGCTAGAAAATGGCTATAGTCCATACCAGTATAGTCCATATATAGTCCATACCAGTATAGTCCATATATAGTCCATGTATAGTCCATACCAGTTAACATATACCAATATATGTTAACTGGTTGTACTGATGAGGGACTGTGAGACTGAAATGCATTTCCAATTTTAATAAAAGTGTATATTTTTTGGATCTGATCTCTCACTCCATTTTTATAATTTGACTTACAAGGTGTGATAAGTCTGGAAAAATTGGCCAAATTTAGGCCACATCAAGACATAACATATTTGTTATACCTTAACAAAAAATTAAAGTTGAATTATTAACTGTATTATTAAAAAGAATAAGAGGTTTTACATAAACTGAAGGAGCCAGCAGGACCAGAAGTTTTCCAGTTNCTGTATTATTAAAAAGAATAAGAGGTTTTACATAAACTGAAGGAGCCAGCAGGACCAGAAGTTTTCCAGTTGTTGTTATTATTATTATTAATTTTTAATATCATTATCTAATTTTAATATTTGTAAAATATTATTAATATTGCTATAAGATGCTTATTATATATAATATGTATTAGATTTAAATTAAGAAAGGAAAATTAGTTAGGAGAATGAAAAGTAAATATTTATGTTTATTGATTATATTACAGATGTCGCCAACAACAGCAAAGAAAAAATGTAAAAATTTTTTGTCTACTTTATTGCGATTAGCAAATGGCCAAGCTGGACAAGTTGCAAAAAATGTGGAAAAACTAATTCAAGGAATTATAGTAAGTGTATTTTCAAAACTTAAAAGTAAATTTTTTAATTAATATCTTTTATTAAATATTAAGAATTATCATTAGTTGTCATGATTTAATTTAGATATTTATTTTGAGTTTAAAATTACTGAATTTTATAAATAATTCTTATTTGTTATAAATACACCATAATGCTTATAAATTGCTGATGGATATTATTCATAAGACTATTGCATTATATTTTGCTTTTGAAATATTTGGTTTATTTTTAAATTACCAATAGCTAATTTAAAATTTAAACAATAAAACTTATTAAGATATATTTACAAATGCATATTCTATTTAGTCATTTAGTTATAATTTTCCTAAAAAAATTTATGGAGAAAATCATAGGTGGTTCTAAACTTTCATCTTGCATTGTATATAATATACTTGTTTACTACTTGTATCTGTGCGAAATATTTGCACTTATATAAAACAAAATATTGAATGCAAAAAATAAGTTATTATTTAGGAAATTATTGTGATTGGATAACTAGCATAGGATTATTGGCACAGAATCTTTGAAACTGGATTAATTATGAATATAAATTATTTTTGTAGTTCCGATTAATTTACTGAACTCTTAATATCTATACTGTAAAAATTCCTAAACTATGAATATATGAAAAATAATGTGTTTTTTAAAACCATACCCTTTTGAAACTTTTGTACACAGTTTGGTTTTATACGTAGTGTAATATTAAATAATTTTACTAAAAGTATCAAAAATTTCAAATGTTAAATGGATTTAAATTGTAAACTTTTGGGAATTTTCTTAAACTTTTGTTGGCTGAGTTTACCTGAATATGCATTTGTATAATTTATACCAATAATTCCTGATATATTTATAAGTAAGAATTATTGGAAAGTATCAGTTCAAGATAACTTAATTGGTAGAATCTTCAGATAATGATCTAAATTTGATAATTAAGATCTGTTTGATAATTATCTTTTATTTAGCATTGAATGATGGTGATTGTTTGATTTTTCAAAAATTAACATTTTTTTTTTCTTTTTGAGCTAGAACTAAAATGCTTATAATTAATACAGTTAGCAGTGTTATTTAATATTTTATATTATATATAATATGAGAATTGAAATATATATATATAATATGAGAATTGAAATAAAGATTATTAATAATTAAAAAAAAATTTAAGTTGCCATTAAAATTTTTAATTCGGATTATATTCAAATTACATGAAATCCATATATGATTTGTTAATTAATTTAAATTTCCAGTTTATATAAATTAATCTTATTTTTATTCATATTACATAAAAGAAATTTAATAATTGTATTTAAATATTTGTAGGATGATACAATACAACCAGAAGAATTTTCTCATCAGTTACAAAAAGAATTAAATTCTTCTCCTCAACCATATCTTATTCCCTTTTTAAAAGTAAGTAGATGAACAATGTAATCCTCAAAATTAGAATGATTTAAAATTGAAAAGGAATGAAATAATATTTTTTACTTAATTTTTTATATCCATTAAGAAGATTATTGGAACTTTTAATCATTAATTTTAAAAACAGATTTATCCATGGATGTTGAATATTTGAGTATAAGTATATAACTTTTGTACTTATTATCATATGGTTGATTACTGCAATTGTAATTATATTACAAATATTACGTTTTTGTTTTATAGGATTATATTATAACAATTTTCACTGCTTATAATGTAATATTGTTGTCACAAACTGGTTTGACAAACAATGATCTTTAAATTTTTATTAGACTTTTTCTACTTAATGAAAATTACATTATAAATATCATCTATATATATATTAGGTAAACCGGAAAGTAATGTCGTTTCTGCACATGTTTATCATTTATCAGCTTGTTGTGTACTTCAAAGCCATGTGAAAGACATTTTAAGGTTAAAGTGACTTGTTTACTTGTAAATAATTAAATCTTAGATTTGTTTTGCAATTTGGGTGAAATGGCCAGTCAAATACAGAAGAGGTACATATCCGACATTGTATGCTTCTTGAGTTTCACAACATAGTAATGCAACAGTTGCTACCAAAAATATTTGTGAAGTTTATCTAAGTGCATTAGATATTCATAAATGCCAAAGGTGGTTTTCTAAGTTCAGATCTGGTAATTTTGATCTTTCTGATTTGTATCGATCAGGAAAACCAACAACTTTAGACAATGGCATGTTAAGGGCGGAAGTGGAAGCAAATCTGTGTCAGACAATCAAAGAACTGTCAAACAACCAACATTGCTCGACCATCCAAGAACATTTGCAGCAGATTGGTAAAGTATGCAGAGCAGGTGTTTGGGTCCCGCATAATCTGTCCAAAGAAAACAAAGCTAACCGATCCACCACATGTAACTTATTGCTTCAACAGCACAATACAGAAGCTTTTTTGATCACTTGATCACTGGAGATGAAAAATATGTCTTCTATGATAATCCAAAATACAAAAGGCAGTGGCTCTCTCCGAATGAATCGCCACAAAGTACTGCTAAGCCAGGTTTACATCCCAAAAAGGTACTTTTGTGTGTTTGGTGGAGTATTTGCAGAATTGTTCATTTTGAAGTGCTGAAACCTGGACAAATTGTGAATGCAGACCTTTACTGTGAACAATTGGTTTGAGTTGATCAATCTTTAATTGAAAAGTGTAAAGTGATTGTCAACAGAAAAGGTGTTATTCTGCAACCTGATAATGCAAGACCACACTGCGCAAGACAAACCCTGGAAAATATTAATGAATTGGAATGGGAGGTACTGCCTCACCCACAATATTCGCCTGACATTGCACCATCGGATTTCCATTTATTCTGATCGCTACAACACTTTCTACATGACAAAAAATTTGAAAATTTGGATGATATCCGAAATGCCATCTCCAGATATTTTGCTCAAAAACCAATTGATTTTTATTGATCTGGCATTGAAAATTTGCGCACTAGATGGCAAAAGGTTGTTGATAATGAGGGTGATTACATCATTGATTAAAAATAAAAACAAGTTAAAAATTTATTTGTTTTATTTTAATTTTAAAAAAACAACATTACTTCCAGGAATATATATGTTTTGTCAATGTCAAAAGCCAATGTCAAAAGTCTAACCAATTTGTGAAATGGCTGACCACTTCTAGCTTTGGACAAAGTCATGTGGCCAAAACTGGAAATAAATGAGAAATTACAACTACTTTGGGACTTTGGTTGGACAGTTCATGATACACTTAACAATCAATGGCCAGTTCAAGAAGTGCCAAGAAAAAGCAGCCAAAGCTAGAAGTTTTGTAGAGCTGGATCACCAGTTCTAACTCTTGTTATACCACTGTGAAAATCTCTTTAGTTTTGTCAAAGTAGAAAAACATCACTTCAAAAACAGAGAAAAATTACTCAGTGTTCAAATAGCTTTATTTAAGTTTGAAAATTATATAAAAGCAAAAAAAAAATTATCTTTCCAGTTGATAAACACATCAAAGAGAACAGTAGTAATGTTTACAATTGTAAAAATGTCAAAGTGAAAAAATGTACAGTAGAGCATCAATTAGCTGAATATCGATCAACCGAAATATCAGTTAACTGAAAGTGTTCTAGACAGCAAATTTAAATTTTTGCTAGTGCTGTGGCACTGCAATCTTTGGGTATATCTTGGGCTACTCCAATATTATTTTTGTTGGTCTGCATGTTTTAGCTGGCAGCACTGACGCAACCATGAGAGGGTACTTAAGGACGTGCTCGGATTTGAAAGAATTTCAACATGGGATAATTTAATATATTTTTTTACCATAATTGGTTATTCGAACAACCCCAGTCCCAGATTGTTTTGGATAATCGATGCTCTACTGTATTTACAGTTAAAAAAACATGAGATAAATTTTTTAGTGATTCAGTTAAAAAATCACTTAAAAATCACTTCAGTTGTAGAAAAAAAACATCTGCAAAGGTAAGATTTCTTTAAATGCAGCTGAAAAAAATCACACCAAGAAAAATAAAAATTCTTCAATTTCAGTTGAAAAATCACATCACAGAAAAATAAGTTATCTTAACAGGATGAAGGCCTGTTTACTTGTTTCTTCAATCTGAACTGTTGTGACACTTCAAATTACATAATGTATTGACTTGTTTGCATTTGTATTGATTTGTTGAACACTTTGCAGCACAGAAACAATTTGAAAATCCTTGTCTCTAGTTAAAGATTGACTTGATGACTCTGCTCTTAATAATATTTCATTACCCAGAATCAATTGCAAAGAAAGAAATTTCTCTTTAAGAACAGTAAACTCACTTTTGGCATACACCTGTTTTAAAACTTCAAACTCTTTCAAAGTTTATACAGGTGATTTTATCAAAACCGAAATCACCGCTATAATGGTTTATGGATCAGTTTGTTTCTGTTAACATCCAGTATGGAATGCCAACATTGTCTCCAATTGTTGCTGGCAGAAACCTTTGATCAAAACTCTTCAGTGTTTTCTTGGCTTGCTTATTTAGGCAATCATGTGATAAAGATCTTTTCACTACTTAGCTCCACAAAACTTCTAGCTTTGGCCACTTTTTCTTGGACATTTCTTGAACTGGCCATTGTTTGTTGGTCAGTTTGCAAATTGACCAGTCAAAGTCTGAAGTAATCATAAATTTTCATATATTTTGGGCTTTGGCCATATGCCAAAGCTAGAAGTGGCCAGCCATTTTGCAAATTGGCTAGACTTCATACATTGGCCATAACATATGTATGAAGGTACTATTATAATGGATTTGTAGAGATTTTTATAAACTTAATTATTGAAAAAAGATTGAAGATCTTTTATGATAAGCAAAATACGAAGAGCTTTTTAATGAACAAATGAAAATGATAATTTATTTTTAATGAAATATTTTTATCTCTTACAGTTATCTGTTCATCATTGAGTTTGTTTGATAATTATTAAATTATTGAAATTAATATACTAATATTTATGCAAAAATTAATTTTTTGAAGTTTATATGTGTAATTTTTGTCATTGAACTAACTTTTAAAGGAAAATTTTAAACAAAATTTTTTGTATTAATAAATAGTATTTTAATAAAAATACATGTAAATAAATAAAGACATGATGATTTGGTTTCTTAAAAATTGATTTATGATATTTCATGCATCTGTTAAATTTAAATTTTTAAAATATTTTTGATACAGTGAGTATTTTTATATTATACTTTTATATTTAATTAAATAAGTGAGGTTAAATGAATGTATAATAGAATTATGAGCATTAAGTTGGACATTGTTGGAATTTGTGTGTATTGTTGGAAGTTGTGTGTATGTGTATGCTCCTCAGCCAGGTAGTGGAGAAGAAAAGACAAACTTTTGGACAGATCTTGACCAAGTTATAATGTGTGTTCCTGTGAATGAGAGATTAATGTGTGGGGGCGATTTAGATTTAAATGGTCATGTTGGGAAGAGGAAGAATATGGAAAGAAGAGTTCTTGGAGTGGAGTATGGGAGAAAGGAATGGAGAGGGAGAAAGACTAGTCGATCATGCTGTGGCTTTTCACCTTGCGCTAGTTAACACCTCTTTGAGAAGAAAGCAAACCAACTGGTTACATACATGAGTGGAGGTCGATCCAACCAGATTGATTTTTCTTATGCCTCAGCAGACATCTGAGAGAAGTGAGAAACAGTAAGGTGTTAAATGGAGAAAAGTGTTGCTGTACAACATAGAGTCCTCCTGGTGGATTATGACTTTCTTATGGGCCATTGTAAGAATTGTGTTAGCCAGATTGAACAAAGGATCAAATAGTAAAGATTGAAAGAGGAGGAATTAAGGAAAGAGTTTAAGGTAAAAGTGTTAAAAGAAATCCAGTTTCCAGATGATGTGCAAAAATGGTGGTTGCTGAATAGTAATTGTATCTTGAAAGTTGGAGAAGAGGTTTTGGGAAAAACTTCAGGGAAGAGATTGCCAGAAGGAAAGGAACTTTGGTGCTGGAATGCTGAGGTACAAGCTGCAGTTAAACAAAAGAAAGAGACAAAGAAAAGGTGGGATTTGATGGGAAGGCTAGAAGATAAAGAAACTTACCATTTGGCAAATAAAATGATTAAAAAGGCAGTTGCTATTGTGAAAGAAAAGGCTTTTGAAGAAGCTTATAAAGTTTTCAAAAGGAAAGGTGGTGAAAAGCAGTTGATGAGAATTGCCAAAGCAAGAGATAAGGCATCAAAAGATTTTACCTCTATTAAACTGATTAAAGATGATAAAGGAGAGGTATTACAAGATTACGAAAGGGTCAAGGAAAGATGGAAAAAATATTTTAGGAATTTATTGAATAAAGAAAACCCCAGAACTTTATATGCTTTGATGCTAGATATTAGCAGAGAAGAAGTGGAAAGTGTGCTTAGGAAAATGAAGATGGGGGAAAGCAGTAGGCACTGACGATTCCAGTTGAAGCTTGGAGAGGTTTGGGTAAGGAGGGAATTGATATCCTCTGGGACCTTATGAAGAAACTCTGGCAGCAGTAGAAGATCTCAGATGATTGGAGGAAGAGCATTCTGATACCGATCTTTAAAGGTAAAGGAGACGTACAGAATTGCGGAAATTACAGAGGTATAAAGTTATTGTCCCATACTATGAAGATTTGGGAGAAAATTGTAGAAAGAAGGATTAGGCAGGAATCTGAGATTGGAGAGGAACGGTTTGGCTTTTTGCTGGGAAGGAGTATGACTGATGCTATCTTTGCTCTAAAACAGTTGATGGAAAGGCACAGGGAAATGCAGGAAGATTTGCACATGGTGTTCATAGATCTAGAAAAGGCATATGATAGGGTACCAAGGCAAGATGTATGGAGATGTTTGAGGAAAAAGAATGTTCCAGAGAAATATGTTAGGCTCGTCAAGGAAATGTATGAGGGAGCAGAGACCCAAGTTAAGAGCAGTGTAGGCACTACAGAAGGGTTCTTCATTAATGTTGGTTTACATCAGGGATCGGCCCTTATCCTTTATTTGTTTGACTTGATAATGGACGTGGTGGTGTATGATGTGAAGTGTGAGGCTCCGTGGAGTATACTGTTTGCAGATGATATTGTGCTGTGTGAACTTTCCCAAACCAAGGCTGAGAATAAACTGGAAGATTGGAGGAAAGTTTTGGAAGAAAGGGGCATAAAGATTAGCAGAACTAAAACAGCTTATATGACTCTGAATGGTAGAGACGAGTGTAATATTAAAATCCAAAATGTGCCACTACCTTTGGTTCTGAGTTTTAAATATCCTGGGACATTTGTCGAGATAGGAGGAGGATTGAATGCGGAGGTGCAGCATAGAATTCAATGTAGATGGATGAACTGGAGGAAGCTGAGCAGTGTGTTATGTGACAAGAAAGTTAGCTGCAATCTGAAAATAAAATTGTATAAATCAGTTGTTAGACCTGCAATGTTATATGGAGCGGGGACATGGGCAATAACAAGAGCCCAAGAAAGAAAGATGGAGGTAGCAGAGATGAGAATGTTGAGATGGATGTGTGGAGTGTCAAGGAAGGATAGAATAAGGAATGGTTTTATTAGATGTTCTGTTAAGGTTGGCCCCTTGAGCAAAAAGATGCAAGAATTGCAGGTTGAAGTGGTTTGGCAACAAAGAGCAAAGAAGCGACAATTATGGTCGAAAGAAGATCGGAAAACTGGTAATGAAAGGAAAAGATGAAGACCAAAGATGTGTTGGAAAGATAAGGTGGAAGAAGACTTGAACCAGAGGGAACTTAAGAGAGAAGAAGCCCTTGATAGGGAGAAATGGAAGAAACGTATTAGTGTAAGTTTACTCACTTTTATGGGATGATCTAGGGATGTTCGCATATGGGTGTGGAGGAGGAGACAGAGATGACAAATATCTTATAAAAAAACCATTTATTTTAGCATAAAAGAAACTTACACTACGAAACAAATATTTCTGAACACAATTGGCTGGTTGGAAGTCCTTAGCGTCAATGTTGTCTTATTGTTCACTTCCTGAGCATGTTCTTTTTGTTGTTCATTGTTGAGGTGGTCCCAGGGCAATGTTGTTATAAATATTTAAGTTGTAAACTTCAGTTCTAACATTTTATATTTTTTTCATTTTCTGTTTTAATCTAAAATATTAGCAAATATTACATGTCTTACTACTGGTGATTATATGTTTATTACAAAAATTAAATTTTTGTTCAATATCAAGTGAATAAAGTATATTAGTTGATTATATTACAGTAGAGCATCAATTATCCGACCCATGATCAACCGACTGTGTTCTAGTTGGCAAATTCAAATGTCCACTAGTGATGCGGCGCTAAAATATTTGTCTATTTCTTGGCTACTTTAATGCTATTTTTGTTAAATTTTTGGTGTTTTAGCTGGCAACGCTGGCTCGACCATGAAAAAGATGCCAGTATTTAAGATGCCATGAAAAAGATGCCAGTCAGGAAAGAGTTAAACAGTTTGTGAGACAGATGGGGAGACTCCGTTAGTCGGTGGCGGCGGCATGGCTTCAGTATTGGCACAAAGACAGAAAGCTTCATCCCGAGTGTGTTGACACACAGCATCTTCAGAACCTTTTCGGAGAGTCCTCGTGTCCTTGAAGATTGGGATTATATCAATCTCAGTTCTCCCCCATTTGTCTATCCTGATTAGTTCCATGTCCCCTTTTTCCGCTCCTTGATTGGTCCCTTGTCTGTCACTAAATGAAAGACAAGACCTGTTTGGGCCATGAGAAGGTCAGATTCGGAGAATCTACCTGACACCATCCATTAACTCTGGACAGAAAGTGTTGATGGAACTTTGAACTTGTGCTCATTTTATCTCATTGTTGTCCAGTCTATGACGTCTTAGAATTTTATCAACCTGATGTGATGTCCTCTTTTATAATTAACCTTTCTCTTTTTCCAAAATTTTTTATGTTCTAATTGCTTGTATACGAGTGCCTTGTCAAAGGTCCATCTCTACTGGAGGATGCTTGTTTACATTTATTGCGTCATGTTTTACATTAATAGTATTTTTTTTCTTGTCTCTGTTTCATATGACTAGCACAATTAATCCAATCTTTGAACAGTTTTAACAATGGAGGGTTTTTTCTAGTTTTTGTTTTAATAAATTTCTATAATAAATGTTTAATTTCAACCTGTTTTTGGAACCTTACATTAGAGAAGGAAACGTCGACCTATATTAACATGGGAAAAGGCAAGGATAAAGAAAGAAAGAATTTAATTAACAAATAAAATCATCAGTTTGCTCAGAAATTTTTACTTATGACTATTATTATACATGCTGTTTTAAATTATTTTGTTATATATATATATATATACTGCATAATGTGAGGCATTATGTATAACTGTAAAAATATATTGTTAAAATAAAAATAATGTTATTTTTATATATATTTATCCAATAAATATTATTTATTTTTCAATAGAAAAATTTGCCATACTTAAGGCATTCAATGATGACTGGAGAATTAAGCATTGAAGGAATTAAACCACCACCACCTGGCTCAGTGGTTCTTCCTATTCCACAACCTGTAAGTATTTACTTGTTGTTTCATTAATTTACTGTACATGTATATGTATTGATATGGAAGAAATAAATATTGAAAAATGGCTTGGAAAAATATGGCAGCAATGACAGTCACATTTTTTTGTTTTTTTTGAATGAAACATCTAAGTTTTTTGTTTTGAGATATTTTCAAATTTATTAAACAAATAAATTATTTAACAGTTTTTAAGTCTAAAGAACATAATTTAATTGCAATTTATTTCCCACTTCTTTTATCAATTTTGACTATAACTAACTGAAAATATCAAATTTTAAGCACTTATAACTAATAAAATTGTAATTGGAAAATTTTGACAATTTTTAACTTTTTCAATATTTATTTCTATTGACAATTAAGGAATTTAAAAAACTATGCATTTTTTGCACTAACTATGCAGTTATATATTTACATGATAAATAAATGAATAAATAAATGTCGTAATTGTCAAGATCTGTTTTTTAGAATTGTTTATTATAGGTAAAAAAAAGTTTTGTGAATGTGAAGAATTCACACTTAGAATTATAAAAAGCTAGCTGAATAACTGAAGATCTTATTTTCAAAGTGATGTATCTCCATTTTCAATTTTTTTTTCTAATTCATGGCACTAAGACAGTGATAATATACTTCTTTATCATGTTATCAATACAATATTTTAATTTCCAAAATGGGCATTTCTTTTGTTGTGTTTTGTTGTCTAAAAGTGTGATGTACAGTACAGGAGCAAGACACTACTGATTTCAGGTGGAGAATTTTATGTAATAGTCACAAAATTGATTTCATTTCCAATGTGACATTTTTCATTTTGTATTTATTTCCAAACTTTCACATTTCCATATAGCCAATTACAAAGTGTATTTTGGTCATGTGATATTTCACTGTAATGACTGCTTTCTGAAGTGCAAGTGCTATTATGTTTGTTTTCTTAATTTTTCTTTAATAATGGTTATATTTTCTGAAAAAGTTCAGAACTTAAACAGGAAAAGATAGATGATGTGAAAAAACTTTTAAATAAACTGGGAATAAATGATGGGCATAGTGCAATAACAATTTACAAAAAGTGTTTTCTTGCTTAGAAAGTGATTAGTTCTACATAGATACTGTGATAGAACAATTACAATAATTTTCATTGATTATTTTCTGTTTTTTGGAATCAATGCATTTTTGGGCAGCAATTTTAAAAAATTGTAGATCTCTAATTCTTACTGTTGCCCATTCATCTGTCTGTCCTTCCTTAATCTTGAGAATGAAGTTAGATAGATGAAAGCCAAGACCAGGTATGGAAAGCTCAGAAGGAGTCTTGAATTAACTATGTAAGAACTGCTGGTTTAAAGAGGAAGTCATGTTATTTCAATTCAAAAATTTTTCCCTGAAAGGAGTTAGATAGATGACCAGCACAACACTCTTGCTAACAGGAAAAGTGTGATGTACAGGAGTAAGACACTATTAATTTCAGGTGGAGATCATATATTTTTAATTTATTTAATTTAAAACATATGCTCTCCACCTGAAATTAGTCAGTGCAGCATTCTGATAATGTCACAATAAATAATTGCTCTTTACACATTGTATTTTTTTTATTATGTTCAATCATGTAAACAAGGTTCATGTGATTTTCATTTTTGTTTTGTATATTATTTTGTATATTTTCTTTTATTTTTATATATAAAAGTTTTGGACCATCTATTTGTTGTTTTTATTATATCATCCATTTAAATGCTTGTTTTGGTTCAGAGTGGGTAACTCCATGATTTGAAGTAACATATCTATTTCTTTTGCTTTGGGATTTTTATCATTATTAAACCTATATTCAGAATATAAAAATAGATCTCTGTATTAATAATTAGGATTTTATCTTAACACTTAAAGCAATTATTTAAAATTTGCATTTTTTGAAATTTGTATTTTCTACAGATATGTCATTTTGGAAATAAGCTCTTCAATTACGCTAGCTAAACTAAAATAGTACAAAAATTGTGAAATAATTGACATTTAGTTTTACTCCCAGTTCAGAGAGACGTCATTTCAGAGGTTCTTGAAACATATGTACAGTAATACCCCGAACTTACGTGATAGGTGGGACCGAGTGGTACGGGAATTCGACTTACGCGTAAGTCGGGGTATAATTTTGCATATAAATACATACAAATAATTTTTAATTGGGGCCGGAGACTAAAGAAAACAATAATTTAGAAAAAAATGTTTAATAAAATCATAGATAATACATATGTATAACAAATTAGGCCTATATTATTTTACAATTTTTCAAATTTACTTGATTATTACGCCATAATTTTAACATTGTTTCCATCTCAGCGATAATACTGTGACGTTTACGAATGATGCTTGAATTTAAAGATTGAGCATTTTTCACAGCTTCGAGAAT